ACTCTTTCTTGCTAACCCTGATAAAATAACAGCAAAAAGTTAAAAGGTAGTATTTATCCAAAAAAAGAAGAGAATATTGAAGGCAATAAGATAAAAAATTTCAACAGGCATCTGGAAGACAGAAAGTGTAGGGAGGAGTAAGCAATTCAACACAGCAGAGAGTAAACTGAGACCCGTGTGCCTGCAGAGAAAACCCACCTGAGGACTGAGTCAATGTCTCGCATGGAGCCAAGGCAGCGCTCCACTGGGGACAGCAGAAGGTCAGGGAGGGCGCCCAGACAGGGGGCTAGTTAGGAGGCTGAGTACAGACCGGGGGAGCCCTCAGCCATCAGACTGCAATACAACTCAACGGCAACACTGGATGCCAGAAAACTATGGAACTACTCTTTCAAAATTCTAAGAGGAAATTACTTTCAACTTAGAATTTAATACACGGCAGCCAGAGGTGCAGTGGGGTGGAATAAAGACATTTTCAAACACAGAAGGACCCAAAAATTGCAGGGACAGAGAAGTTAACAGAAATTTTGTTTCAGCAAACAAAGGAGTAAATCAAGAAAGAAAATGACTTGAGATGCAAGAAACGGAGGATCCAACACAGGAGAAGAGGGACAATTATTCATTTCTAGAGCAGAGGCTCAAAAGGGCAGAGCTAAAGGGAGGGACATGGAACTGTAACAGGGAGAGACAGAGCTGAGGAACTATCTAATGTGCCTGACCACGTGAAAAAGGAGGAAAAAGAGAAACTTTTAGCAGTAAAAGTATGTAGAAAACAAAGCAAATAAAAAGACAAGGAAATTAACTCAAACAAACAAACCCAAAACAAAAGCCTATGCAACTACACCTGGCTCAGCAATGAGCCAAAATGATGTAAACATGGGGTACCTATTTATTTAAAAACAAGGGACACAGTCACCTTGAGGGGAGAGACTGCATGTGCCCACGCGTATGTAGAGGGTATGGGTGTGAGGGTGCGTACTAGAGGAAGGGGGTATAAATACAGATCCATAATTTCTTACCTAAAATTCCAAAAAATTTTTAACTCTTTAAAAAAGACTAACAATTTTTCATTAGTACCAAATGTATTTAACAGCAAAACCTGGCCTGAACTTGTACGAAGCAACACATGATCTCTATAATATCCCACTGAGTATGATTATGTATTTTGCTGTAGAAGTATTAGCATGTTTGATCACAGGCTATCGCCCAAAAATTACAGTATTGCTCGAAACTCTATCAGGAGTATGTTGTAATATATGGTCCCATGCACAATTTCACCCTTCTAAGATCCAAAAATTCCTCAATTCCAAAGCATATCTGATGTCAAGGTTCTCAGATAAGGGACTACGAATGCGTAGTCAACTATCATATCTGGAAATCAATAGATATAGACTGAAGTTGATAAAGAAATAGCTGCATAATCATATTTCTTAGAAATATTACCAAAATAAATAGGTGAGTTGCACCATCTCCCAGTGGGGCAAAGGAACTGTGGTTCTTCAGTAAGCATATTTTCCTATCATTTTATTTTTAAATTAAAAATGGATTACTTTGCTGAAAAATAAAAATTAATCACAACAAAAAAGGAAAACTGGTCTCATCCTTACCCTGCTTACAATCCTTCCATGACTTCCCAATACACAGAAAAAGTCCAAACTCTTAAGATGGCTTTGTAGAACCTAGCCTCCATGTACCTCCCCCAGCGTCATCTCACACAGCTCCCTCTCTGTTCTCACCAACCTCAGCCACTTCCTAGAACCCGCAAGCTCTTTCCTGCCTAAGCAACTTTGAGTTAGCTGTACCTCTTCTGGATTTTTCTTTC